GAGGAAGACAGGCGTGCGAGCAGGAGAATGCGTGATGCTGTCCGAGAAACCTGAGCTGGAGCTGCGAGACAGAAATACGGAAAAAAAAATGTCACCATGCAAATATTACATAAAATTATAATTTCTTTTGATTTTAGAGTGAAATGTGATCTGGACAGGTTTTCACAGGATTCACGCTTAAACTCAGTACTAAAAAGTAGTGATAAAATAATTCAGTCAATAATTCAGCTTGCTACTCATTTTTATGCTTGTTTTGTTATTTGATTAGCATGTTGCTAGCTTGCAAACACGCTAATGGCAATCTTTATTAGTGGCTTTTGTTTTTTTTCTCCATTCATTTTACCCATAGGGGTATTTAAAAAGGTCTTGGTATTTTTTTTTATTAATTAAATAATTTAAATATATTGATTTATTAATTGCATTTATTTATTCCGTAAATATTTTTGCATTAATTATATATTTTAAATTAAGTTCATTTGTTCATTTTATATATTTATTACATTTAATTTACATAAAATATTAATTATATATTTTAATTATATTGATTTATTAGTTGCATTTATTTTTTACATACATATTTTGTTTTAAAGGGGTCATATGATGCTGCTAAAAATCCGGCCGGAGCGACGAGACATAAACATTAAAACCCATTATAAACGAGGCATTCGTTGCATCCAGTGGGGACATAATTACGGGTTATAATGACTTAGGGCGTGTTCACACTTGGCGTCTTTTTGAAGCAGCCAGTGTCTGTTTTACATTATAATCCTATGGAGTAAACCGTGTTTTCAAAAAAGTCCTGAGCGCTTTTTAAAACGCCACCGTCGGCTTTATTATATATTTTTTAAAGTATTAATTCTATTTTTAATTATATTAATTTACGTTTGTTTACTAACAAATGTAAATTTACTAATTACTTTTATTCATTATATATTTTAATATTGATTTATGCACTTATTTATTGCATTAATCATTTTTTATTAATTATATATATTTATTATAATTAATGAATTAATGTAAGTTGAGTATGATGCCAGTTGTTCATACAGAATATTCCTTTCATTAAAATAATTAATATATTTTTATTATTTTTTATTATATTCATTTATTATTATTTAAAACAAAATCTGATTATTTACAAACTAAGTTGAAATAATGCATGCATATGGTCTCAACAAAACCATTTATTAGCATTGATTAGCAACCTCATAGCTCAGAGTAGGTCTTTATGAGTTATCATTAAAAATAATTTCCATTATGGAGAAAATGAACAGGAATTTTACTTGTAGAACTGACTGTTCGATCAGCGTTTCTGTCGTAGTATGCAGCTGCCTGTATAGGGAGCTCTGTGCTGGAACAGAGCGATAGTGTTTCGTTGTTTGGCTGTGTAATTGTTGCTCCTTGATTACTTTATTGATTTGTGTGTATCTCACTGACACGGACTCCGTGTTTGTTTATGAGTTTTTACAAAACAGCCTCAGTAACATTATTGAGTGAATCTGAAGCTTCAGCAGAAGTACAGAGAGAAATTCGAACGGCGCATCCGTCCTGTAGTAAACACTATAAACACACTAACTCACACTCACTAATGCTCACAGTATACAGAACAAATGATGAGCTGAGCTGAATGCTGTGCTCACAAAATACCTCAAAACTGCCTCATTTTATTTGATATTTGTCTGCATTAATGTGCAAAACTGCAAAATTTCCAAAATCAGCTAGTTGGCAGAGCGTCAAAGAGGATGAATTTTCATAAACAAATGTTCATAAACAAATTTATTATAAGATCTTCTGTGTATAAATTATGATAATTACAATTATTATTATAGTTATAATTACAATTATATAATTGTAATAATTTTGATGAAATTTTTAAATAACAATAATTCTTTTATAAAAAAAATATTTTATAAAAAATATTTAACTTGTACTATTTTTTCTTCATATAGAATTGAATACAAATTATTATAATGACAATTATAATTATTATGGTACAATTTTTAGTTGGAATAATTAAATACTATCTTAATGTATTTTCACAAATATTAAAGCTACAGTAGTGTGTGTGTGAGTGTG